GCAGCTGGATGCAATAATCGCATGCCAATTTGCATTGGCTCGTATAGCAGCGTGGCCCTCGCAATTATTCTCCCTTCAAAGTGCCCTCTGAAAGCATTAATCATGCCGATTGGAACGCAGCCTTCGTTTCGTTTGTGTGAAGAAAAGGTGAGTTTGTCAAGTGAGTATCTTTGTTAAAACATTCATAAAGACAAATTTCTCATACAACAATATTGGTAAAACAGTATGTTAGAGGTTTTCACTTATATTAAGTGTTAACACTCAAATTACGCAGTATTTTTATAGTAAATTAATGTACCCAAAAACATTTAAATTTTTTTTATAAATAAGTCAAGTCAAGTTTATTTGTACAGCGCTTTTCACAATACAAATCATTGCAAAGCAACTTTACAGCAAATTAAGTTTCTACAATATTTAGTGGTAGCTTATCAGTGGTGACTGTCAGTTAATGTACATATGGCAGAAATGTACGGAAAAATCTATTTAAGATGTAATAAAACAGACGATGAACAGTATTAACAGCAATTATTACTCATTGAGCAATTAACTCACTAAATAAGTGAGTGATTTTGTTGTTTTTACAGAATTAGAATGTAGAATATTCTCTACAAATGTGTGTGTATGTATGCATGTATGTACATATACACACACACACACACACACAGTATATACACTGTTTGCAAAAGTATTTTGAATTTTTTTAAGTGTTCATTTAAGTCTGCGGGCCAGGGGGGGACATATTGGCAAATAAACAAAATATTTAACAGAAGTTATGTAAGATTAAACAAATGGTTTAAACTGCAATGGTGGCTGGATGCTGCAAAGGTGTCAGGAGGGGCGAAGAGGATATCCACTGTCTCCCAGCAGCCAGCTATCACCAAAGCCACCCTCTTCAGCCACCTGGCAAACTGCAGAATTGGCCCACACAAAAGAGTCATGTGTGCTTCCAGGCCATTTTGCCACAATGTCAGTGAACATCCCCTGGTGATCACACACTATTTGAACATTAATGGCTGGATAGCCCTTCCTGCAAATGTACAAGGGTTCATTTACCACAGGGCTTGACACTGGGATAACGGTGCCATCGATGATGCCAATCACTCTGGGGATGTTGTCAATACTGTAGAACTGTTGATTGGCCAGCTGGATTTCTTCATGAGTTTGGGGGGAAATCAGGATGTTCTTCATAAGCTGTAACAGCAAAGGTGTTACTGCTGTCACAGTTTTGCTGACTGAAGATTTGCTGAGCCCCAGGCCATCACCCACCACCTCCATAAAACTTCCAACAGCATAATAATGCAGTGTAGCTAACAACTGCACCGCTGAACTTAAGGCGTTGTTTCTTTTTGTTGCCCTCTGAAGATATGGTTTCACAACCTGTAGTAGTTCAAAGATCTTGGCCCTTGGAAGCCGGAATTTTCTTAAGATGGCATCATCAGATAGTGAGTCAAGGGGGGTAAAATGTGTCCCTATGCAGGCATTTATATACACTGCCTGACTTCTGCGTTGCCTTCTGTGTCAGAGGACGTTGCTCAGCACATGAGGAGACCTCAGACGGAGGTGAATAAGGGGAAGAGAACAATAGACCAGGACCCTTTGGTGATTTTGAAGGCCCAGGCTGGAGAAGGCCTGATGTTGAAGAGCCAGGCTGGAGAAGGCCTGATGTTGAAGGGCCAGACTGGAGAGGGCCTGATGTTGGAGGCCGGAACTTTGAAGGCAAAGACCTGGTTGATGCACATGCATCTATACCTCCAAGGATCCCTTCCAATGCTTCAGGTCCCAGGATGGCCAAAACTTTCTCTTCCTCTGTAGTGAGAGGAGGGAATGAATTGATACCCCCACCAGTCTTGTTTGCTTCCCTCTTACATGCCGCAGCCCTCCGTTTTGTCACACTTGCGAAGTCCCTCCACTTATTCCTGACTTCGTCTGGGCTTCGTTCGTACCCATATCCAGCAACATTTATTTTTTGAGTGATTTCTGCCCAGATTTTCTTTTTGTCAGCATTTGTAATGCTGTTTTTCAGCTTTGAAAATAGCTGGATTTTATTATTTTCCACCTCCTCCAAAAGAACTGCAATTTCATGCTTTGAAAATAAGGGTTTTCATGACATTTTCATGAACACATGGCTGAATGGCAAGGGGACTTAAATATGAACAATTATTGAGCAAAATAAGCAACAGCACATCACAGTTTTAAAAAAATACATATTTTTTCAGTTGTGCTTATGTAGCCTATCAATATTAAATAAGAAATGGTATTTATATGAAATTGTGAAATTATAGACATTGGGATCAGAAAAGAGCACATTTTTAACTTTGTGTGTGTACATATATAATTGATTGCTGAACAAATGATCGTTGCGTTATTACTCCACTCCTACGTAACATCATTTCAAAAGTGTAATTCGAGTCAAAGAAAAGAGAAAATAAAACCAAAGTACTATAGGTGGCGGTATGTGCTCATGGCACCAGTCGTCTATTAGATCGAAGAAGAAGAAGAAGAACAATGTCATAAAGACAGCTCAAACCAATGTGGTTTAAACGATGGATCTGCGACACAGGTACCATGATTCGGGAAACAGTCGTGACTAGCTAGTTCGTTTCCACAACGATGCATTGTACTATGGTGGTTAATCAGCGAATTACGTAGTTGTATGGGAAACACACCCCAGATTGTTCACAATATGTAGGCAAAAGTTTTTTATTGTTTACAGAATGGATGCGCGTTCTCATCTTTTTTTTCTGTTAATTACCATATTGCTCTACTTGTCTATTTTTCTTCAGAGCATCGACTTAGAATGCCTAATGTTGGCTTGATTTCTTGTGTTACATGAGAAAATAAATAATTTTGCCTACCTGATGTAGTAGATGTAATGCGAGTGCGGTTCGGGTCGCAGTCTTTATGTCAAACGGGTTGGGTACAGAATTAAATTAGTGCTGCTGTCAGATATTGATAACGGGTCGGGTGTTCTGTTAAGTACTGCTGATGCGGGTTTACTGAACAGGACCCGTGCAGGATCTGCTTTAAACTGCTTTGCGTCTCTCTGTCAGCATAACCTCACGTCCATGATGCGCCATTTACAGGTATTTCCCTAAACCGCCACACATCTCATATATTTTTCTGCCATGGGGTGAGAACAGAATTATGATTACGAAAACGATTATTTATTTTTGAAAATTATTTTATTCAGTTAGTTTTTCAATAACTTTTGTTAGTTTAGTTTTAGTTTTTCATTTATTTTGACATTTTTATTTTATTTCAGTTTACGAAAATGTTTTTTTGATAAATCGTTTTCGTCTCAGTTTTAGTTTTTGTTTATGAAAATAACCTTGGTGGGGCCCCTCTCTGACCACAATATTGGACAAAGCATTACTACATTTTGATTGGATCTTGGTGGACTAACATAAGCAAATTGTCCAATGCCATCAGATGCTAGGACAACAGCCAGACACCTCTTATGCTGCGTTCACACCAAACGCGAATAGAGCGTCAAATTCGCGTCTACCGCGTCTAGTTTGCCGCTTGAACATTTTGAATGCATTCGCGCGTCTAGAGCGAAATAGACCAGCGTAAAAAACAAGCGTTTGAAGCGAAATTGACGCGCGTCCGAGGCGAAATCCGCTTCTTGTGGGAGGGGCAAGTGCTAGGCGGTTGTCTATTTGCAAGATGGCTGATGTTGATCGAGCATTCATCGAGGGAGTTACCGTTTTCCAAAAGTAATTAACCTGTCCTGTGATTTCTTTGTTTTCCTCACACAACACTGTCCAGACACATATGGTAAAGTATATTGGTTGTCTTTACATTATAATACATGTTTCATATAATCAAGATTTAGATATGGAATAAATAGCATTCAATACAAAATGAATATGTGTCATATATTGAAATCAAGTTTTTATGTGATAAAACACTTGCTTTGTTGTGCATTAGAACCACACCAGGCATTTAGTCATATTTCAAAATAATTTATTCAGGCCAAACATAAAATAATTTGAATATAAACTTAAAAAAATACAACATGTACAAACTATTTACATACAGAGACAGAATCGCTTGGAACGTGGAAGAGCCTCAGGTAACAAAATGTAGGAGAAGAGGAAGGAGGGCATTCTGCGTTTCCTGCAGAGCCTGCTGCCTCATTTTTTTTAAAGCCTACTGTGGGCTGTGGGGGTCCGATTGTTCCAAATTTTGCGTAACGCGCGTATCGCGCGAAACGCTCAATTCGCGCGTCAATTCGCGTCATTCGCGCGAACTAGACGCGCGAATGAGGCGAATTCGCGTCTTCCGCGCCACGCCTCATTCGCGCCGCGAGACCTCCAGACGCGCGTAAACGCGTCTTTACATTGACTTAACATTGAAATCATTCGCGCCAGACGCTCTATTCGCGTTTGGTGTGAACGCAGCATTAGAGGGCAAGAAGAAGACCTTTGGTACAAAGGACAGAAACACTGAAGTTCTGAGTCTGAGCCCCGCAAGGGTGAGACAATAGCAGATCAATCTCCGTTCTGAGTCTCCGGACTGTTACAGGGAAGGCATCAACAGACACAACCATCCGTAGCATGTGGCCCACTACAGGGGAGACGGCAAACGATACCTCTGTTCTGAGTTTCCCATCCAGAGAGACAATAGCGGATACAGCGTTCTGAGTCTCCGGCCTGCAAGGGTGAGACACTAGCAGATACACTCGTTCTGAATCTCCCACCCCGAGAGACATAAACAGTAATGTTCTGAGCCTCTGGCCCATGTGGGAAGAGGCAATAACAGATACCAAGTCCTGAGTCTCCAGCTTGTGAGGATGCAACAGATACAACCACGTTATGAGCCTCCAGCCTGTGAAGAGAGAGATATTCTACGTTTAGAGTCTTTGTCCAGCGAGACAATAACAGATGCAGCACATCCTGAGTCTCCATCCTAGAGAGACAAAGCGGATCGGCCAAGTTCTGAGTCTCTAGCCCAGAGTGGCAGAAGACACACAAACATTTGCAAAAAGGTTAAACTCCTGCGAGCAAACCTTTACTTCAAGGTACTTTTGCTTGCGTGTTCCAGGCAGGGACCTTCTACACCTACTCCAGGGCCACATCTGCCTGTTCCAGATTTTAGGACCCTTTGGTGCTCCAGGAGATCAGTATCCTACAGTGCTTCGTGTTCAAGACTGTTGAAACAGATTCCTGCTCCTTTCCCCACTACATTGTTACCAGCTCAACCAGTGGAAGAAGTCACCGCCACCGGACTGCTCACTCAACTACAGGGAACGTAACTATCACTTATCCAAACCTCTTCCAGAGACCTTGGCATTGTTGCATATTATCAGTTTATGATTTTTCTAATAATATATAGCTGATTGCAATTGATAACAAATAATGTTTCATGTATTTGTTTGATACATAATAAGGTTCTTCACCTTATTTGTTTCAGAGTAGCAACAGTTTATCTTTCCAGATAAAGTAGCTCTGACATAGCAACACCCATCATAATCACTTACATTTTATGCATCTTATGCACTTTATTCCTTTTTCATTCATGGTATTCATTTAGTCGTTGTTGATTACTCTTGTCTATCTTTTGTTAATAAAATCTATTTTATTACACTTGTGTCTTCCTTGTGTTGATGATACAGAAAGAGGTTCTACAAGTTAGAGATCCCACCACCAATCTTTCTTATGTGATGTACTCATGACCACACCTTAAGTGACACGTGATCCAAAAATGATAACGTCATCGGTGACGTGAGTACCCATCATTACACTAATTTGCCTTCCTAGGTTGGCAAAAGCAAATTCACTACAAAATATTGTATTTTATCATAAATATATGAATCATACATTAAAATAAAACAAAAACAAAAAAAAAATCAGATTTTATTCTAATATATTATTTATACTAACACTTTTTTAAACTAACACTGAAAACTAAAAAAAGTGTTTAGCCCCCCCAGCAAAAATTCTAATAAATTTAAATTCAAATTAAAAATCTATTTTAAAATATTAAAATCTACAACAGCATGTAACTAATACTATAATAAAATGAATTTTATTTATAAATATAAATGTGGTTCAAATGTCATTTAAAAAAAATGACATGTATAAACTTCTTATCAGATTAAGTTTCATTTTCTGTAATTTTGGTCACAATGTTCAAGTAAATTCTAAACTACATGTAAATGTAACGTGCAAAAATATTGTATTTTATCATAAATATATGAATCATACATTAAAATAAAACAAAAACAAAAAAAAAATCAGATTTTATTCTAATATATTATTTATACTAACACTTTTTTAAACTAACACTGAAAACTAAAAAAAGTGTTTAGCCCCCCCAGCAAAAATTCTAATAAATTTAAATTCAAATTAAAAATCTATTTTAAAATATTAAAATCTACAACAGCATGTAACTAATACTATTTTTTTATGAATTTTATTTATAAATATAAATGTGGTTCAAATGTCATTTAAAAAAAATGACATGTATAAACTTCTTATCAGATTAAGTTTCATTTTCTGTAATTTTGGTCACAATGTTCAAGTAAATTCTAAACTACATGTAAATGTAACGTGCATGTCATCCTCCCAACTGATGACAACTCAACTCAACTGAAATGAAGTTGCAAACTGGGCAATATTTGTAAAATCAAGGTCAGACATTAAGAAACTTGAGGATTATTACCAAAAGCCTGTAGTCCTGTGAGTATCTAGGTACAGCTGGGTACAGCACAGCAATAAAGTAGTTTGAGACCATGTAATGAGATGATGCCCACAGAATGAATTGAGAGCAAGAGCTTTGTACTTTATTCTCAAAGGTATTTCATCTTCACTAATCCGTATTAACATCTGGGACAAATAATATTAATGCCATTTAAATTAGCTTGCTGGAATGATGCCTTTCAGCAGAAAATTGAGACTTAACACAGGTTCCATTTTGGATTTAATTTAGCAAATTCAGTGGCAAATTACCACAGTAAAGAGTAAATTCCTTGACAATGGCACCTCATGACATGCACGCCACTGCACCTGTAATCCCGTTAACCTGCTGCATGGCTGTAATTGAGCCACCCCATAATGAGCTTGTAGTGCTGTTTGTGGTATCAGCCTACATGATTTTTCAATTACAACTTTTCCATCCTCTTCCTGCAGGATGTGGCAGTCTGATCATTCCATGGGGTCCTTGTTTGTGTCCTCCACTTCTGTTGAGCATGCCGCTGTGGCTGTCAGAGGAGCACGGGCACAAGTTTTCTGCAGCTTCTTTCTAATCGAGCCACTGGGGTCGAAAAAGTCACGAGTCACGCATCTCTGCCGGACCGACATGAGGTGTGTATCTCACATTCCATAAAATAGTGAACAGAGGCTAAAAATGAGGGCATAGTGGAGAAAAACGTCAGGCTCCAAATTCTTGCTTCTGTTCAAAGATTGAGTTTCTTTTATAATCAATTTGTTCCTTTCAAGCCTCTGTTGGTCTACAAGAGTTCCTATAGATTCATATTTTAGGGAAGAATCAATGAAACACATGGCTGTAATATAGAAAACATTTGTCTTTGAAAATTGAGATGCATTCTTGGGGATGTGTTGTGACAGAGCAAACATGCGGCACAATCATTACTATATTACCTTCACTGGATAGAACTTGTCTAGCTGGCACATTTGAAAGTGCAGGTGAATGTAGACACTACATTTTTCTGATTGCATCATGTATTTGTACTGATAAATTAAAGTAAACAGTCCATTGCTGCATATTGATTGGTGGGTTGGGGGCATGAATCTGTGTTTTCAATTAAAGAAGCAGGCAAAGTGATTATATGGACTCCTATTTCCTAAAGGACTGCACATTTGAATCAATTTCAGATGGGAATCAGCAACATACTTATTTCTTGAACATAACACATGAACCGCTAATAAGCATTTAATTTTTTACTGTTTTATTATAATTTTTTTTTTAAGTGTTTAATTTACAATTTTTTTTAAACCCTCTCTTGGACATTTACAGTTAGATTTCTTATTAATTACTTTATTAATTATTATATACTTAGTACATAGATCAAATATAACAGCCTGGTCTCATCTTTACATGTAGGTATTAATTAGTGCTGTAGTCCGAGTTCGGACTCGAGACATTTTTCTATGGTCTCGGACTTGTCTCGGACTCGTTGGTGTTTGCACTCGGACTTGGTCATTGGACTCGCCAAGTGTTCTCGTTGGTCTCGATCGAGTCCAGCAATATGCTTTTTCAAAACAAAACCACATTTGCATGTCGCGCCTGAAAACGCATGGAAAACAAAGGCGCGCAGCTTTCTCCTTCTTTCCAAAGCACTCTGTAGCCTGCGCTCTGTGCTTGCGCTCCCGTGGCGTCTGCCGTTGGTAAGCAACCATGACCTGCGCTCTCCATGAAGACGCGGGAGTTTCAGCAAAGGATAAATGGATTTCCAGCACTAAAAATCCCTTGCAGTAGCTCTGCTATTAAAATTTTACAATAACGTTAACTAGTATTAGTTCACTTTAATTTCAGCATTCACTAATGCATTATTCAAATGACAAGTTGTGTTTAACATTAATGCACTGTGAACTAACATTAAAACTAACAATGAATTAACAACTTTATTTTTATTAAATAACATTAACAAATAATTTTTTTGTTCATGTTAGTTAATACATTAACTAATGTTAACAAATGACACCTTATTTTAAAGTGTTACCAACTCTTTTTATGAGGTTAGAAATAGGGCTGAAAGATGAATCGTATTTTCATTGTCATTGCAGTATGAACATGTTATTTAGCAATGTGCACCGAAGCGGGCTATGAAATATCAGAGTTGGTTGATTTAGGCGCCAGAGTGCAGAATTCAGCACTCAACAAAACTCTGGCGCTTCAGCGATGACTCATCTGAATGCCTTTGATTGGCCATTGCATTAATAAACTCAATGGAATCGTATGTTATTGGTTGTAATGCTCACTGCTGTAAAAAAAACAAAAACTCTGTTATCACACATAGCAGAATTTCCTCATATTGTGCTGGGCTATTAGAAAGGCAAAATCAATGCAAATCAGTGGATATGTCTGCTATAATGATTTTAAAAGAAAGTTGATTGATCTCCTGTTATTAAATTTCAGCACTAATAGAGGATACTGCATTTCTTCTTTCCAGGCTACAGCAGTATCGGGCAGGCCAGCGACAGGGGGTGGGGGGGGCGTCACAGCCGACCATTGATACATTCCAGCGGCAAACATTGCAAGTTTCAGTGTACAGTGGTTCTTCATCGAGGCAACTTGCCATCAACCAAGCCATCATCTATGACCTCATCATTGGCTGCTGCCTGCCCCTATCAATAGTAGAGAATCAACATTTCCGACATTTTCTACACACCATTGATGAGAGGTACACCCCAATCGCCAGATCAACCATAGCCTTCAAACAGATACCTCAACTAGTGACCAGAGTCAAAGAGTGTCTCAAATCCAGTCTGGCAGATCAGAAATTTGTCTCTGTTACGGCTGACATATGGTCAGATCGCACCTTGAGGTCTTACCTAGGAGTAACAGCTCATGTTTGTAACTCCACAGCTAATGAATACACTCTGAAGTCTTTCCTCCTTGACTGCAGAAGATTTAAAGGGTGTCACAATGCTGACAACATTGTAGCTGCATTCGATGAAATATTGGAAGAATACAATATAAATGATAAGGTAGAATTTATTATCACAGATAACGCATCTAACATGAAAAAAGCTTTTAAATTTGTGATGGCAGAAGACCACTCTGATGATAGTGAGGATGAGGAGGACATGGTTGGTGAACCGTTGGATAGGAACTTTACCCTAGGTTCCCGGCAACGGCTGTCCTGTTTTGCTCACAGTCTTCAGCTAGTAGTGGGCGATGGATTAAAGGAGGTGAAGTGCCTTTCTCAAGCAATGTCCAAAGTGTCAAAGCTTGCAACTCTACTGCATAGCGGCACAATTTTCAAAGACAAGTTTGAGGCAGTCTTTGGCAATGGCAAAAGCATTCCAGTGGCAACTGTAACACGATGGAATTCCACCTTCAAGCAAATAAAGGCCATTACGGAGCTGGATCACACCAACTTGACAGAAATGTGCTCTCCTGACTTTAAAAATGTTGTCATCACAACAAGAGGGTGGGCCCAGTTGAGAGAATTTTGTTTTATTCTTGGACATTTTGCTGAAGCAACTGAATTAACAGAGGGAGAAAAGATCATCACAATCAGCATGGTTGTTCCAACAGTGCTTGACCTGAACACTCATCTAATTCTGATGGATTCGCCAAAGAGCCTCTGCAGGCCATTGATCAGAGCGCTCCGGGAGTCACTCCAGCAAAGGTTCTCGGGCATCTTCATTGCACTTCATATGGCAGAGCCTGAGGACCATAGCTTTGATGCACCATTTAAGTCATAAATCTATGCACAAGCTGCAATGTTGGACCCTCAGTTTGGAATGAATAAAACGCAAATGACCGAAATACGCAGGAAAATAACCATTTAATATAGCATTAAAATATTTTTATAGTTGCTAATTCCACTCCTACTTATAAACCTAAACATTTCTGTACAGTATAAGAAAAACATGACAGACAGATAAATGCAATTACAATCATTTATTTATTGCAAAAATGTCAAAAGCAGTATCAAAAGTAATCTAAATTATGATGCGTTGCACCCGCAGTCCTCTCTGGCGGAATACAGTAGGTTTGTGTGATCAACAGAATTTATGTTGTTAATCGCTGAAAATATCATCCAGATAATTTTCCCGATCCACTCCGAGAACTCGTGAAGGCACGTGCGCATCATTCAAACACAGAAACACGGCTTGTCGCAATCTGTGACGAATGCAGGCGAGAGCTAATGAGCGTTTGATTATCCTGCCGTAAAACCTGTCGTTTGAAGCAGCAACATTTGAATTTGTAAAGAGCGCGTCAGTCAGCGCGGGCTTTGCTGCTCACGGTCACTAGACTCGCTGCTCGGGATGGAGAAGAAGATCGCCAAAAAAAGGCTTGGATTTGGGTCTGTTCCTCGCAGTCGTATGGATTCGGAAGATTTGGATTACAGTGCACTAAAAAAATTGTTTCATTTCATAATTATGTTGCGTTTTTGGTGTATTTTATAGTTCTATTGTCAGTCACAGCATGTCGGAGAAAACACCTTTTGTGGCCCATGACAATCAAAGTAAACATTACATGACAAGTAAAGGTTAAACGATTGCAGAAATTTTATTTATTTTAAGGTTTAAAGTGAAGTCGTGTTTAACATTATGTAGGCATATTCTTGAAAACGAGCTGGCAGCAGAAATCACAACAAAACGAAATGTTATAATTTCATAAGTAAACAATTTAATAAGTCTCTCGTTTCTCATTTTCCTCTTGACAATACCCCATAGATTCTCTATGGGGTTCAGGTCTGGTGAGTTTGCTGGCCAGTCAAGCACACCAACACCATGGTCATTTAACCAACTTTTGGTGTTTTTGGCAGTGTGGGCAGGTCCCAAATCCTGCTGGAAAATGAAATCAGCATCTTCAAAAGCTGGTCAGCAGAAGGAAGCATGAAGTGTAAGTAAGTTTTATTTATAGAGCACATTTAAAATTCAGTGTTACACTGACCAAAGTGCTGAACAAAACCAATAATAAAATACAGTAAATTCTAAAATAAAGTAAAATAATAAAAAATAATAATAATAATAAAAAAAATTTAATATTGGCAATAACAACAGTTTCACATTCAATTAATAGCCCGGGTTTTCTTCCCAGCAACAGAATTTCTTGTTTTAGAGGGACTAAAGAGAATCACCTCAGTTTTATCATTGTTGAGCTGCAGGAAGTTATTTGACATCCAGCATTTTAACATAAAGAAGAGAGGCAGATGATGAGATAAATTGGCCAACAGACACTGAAAATGACCTGGATTTCAGATACGACTCAAACCAGCTAAGTGCTGTACCCTTTATGCCGACCCAATGTTCAAGGCATGACAGAAGGATATTATGATCAACTGTATCAAAGGCAGCACTAAGATCCAATAAAACCAAAACTGCATTATCACCAGAATCAACTGACAGTAGCAAATCATTCATCACTTTTAATAAAGCGGTTTCAGTACTGTGGTGGGTAGTGAAACCTGATTGAAAAGGTTCAAGTGTATGAGTTGATTTAAAAAAAGGAAGTAATTGTGACAGGACAACTCTTTCCAGAACTTTTGAAAGAAATGGGAGTTTTGAAATAGGACGATAGTTATTCAAGCAATTAATATCGGCATTGGGTTTTTTAAGCAATGGCTGAACAACTGCATGCTTCAAAAACGCAGGGACAG